TCAAAGAGTTTCCACTCATTCAAGGGCTAGGGATGCCCCCCCCCCCCCCCCACCCCCAAAAAAGAACGGAAGATGGATAGGAAGGAAACGAAAGTGATCCATGTAGTGTGTAGTGTTCTCTGGCAAGTGATTATGGGAAATAGAAAAAATAGTCTCATAGCCACAGTCAGCCATTGTTTTCCTTATGGCCTACTTAGTTAATGAATGGCAATTAACACGCTCCGTGCTGACTGCCATGTCTGAAGCGTCCTCCCATATTTGCCAACCATAAGACTGCAGAAAAATATCCAACAACTTTTTACAGTGCGAACAATAAAACGAGAATTATGGCCGCAGTTCAACCAGGGTTTTGATTCAACATAAACTTGACACACCCACTACCAATATTTTGATTGAAGAGGAACTAGAGCAGCCCCCGTTCTGTTCTTGCAGACAAGGATTAGCGCATAATGCTGCCCTCATTTTTTTTCCCCAAGACTTTTATTGTACTCTTTGCTATGGCATTCACGTTTCAGCTTAGCTGTTACCCACTGTGCTGTGTTAAGAGAATTAATGAAGTTTTGATGTGCTTTGAAGAAGACTGTGTTAAATTTTTTGGCTAAATTGATTATGATTATCCAGTGATGACAGCCCCATATCAAAGGTTAGTGGCTTTGCTACGCACCAATGCTGACACTAAAAAGTAAACAAAGGATTTTTTTTAATACAACAAACTGTTGTATTTAAAATTAAAACACAACTGGTGTTAATGGCTTTTTTTAAAAGCATAGTTAAAAAATGGCTGTATGTTCACACAGAACCCTTATGTTGAACATTAGCCAATGTCCTCATTTTAACAACAGTTACATTACAGTATCTACCACATGTACAGCAGTCCACGCGAACACACATCTACATAAACTCCTGCCTCAGTTGTTTGAAAGGAGTTGAAAAATGGATGATGCTGCTCCCCCCTCAGCTCCCTCTCAGCAAAGAGCAGTTTACTGCCACAAGCAGCAATAGGTCACAGTGATCTTGCCTACCATTTGAGAAAGCAGCAGGGACACATACTGTATTCTGTTTTCCATCTTTATCAGGGCAGCACAAAGGAGGTAAAAATAACTGTCCAGAAGCTTTTTGGTCAACAGACAAAATATTTTCTCCCCCTGCATTTGCTGCAACATTATATGCTACACCTTCATCTGCAAATCAGTGGTGAATAAAAAAGATGACACATTTAAACAGGGTCTGCCCAAAATAAAAGGCTTTTTTTGGATGTAGTTGAGAGTTGTTATTCTTATAGAAGATTAAGAGCATAAAATGTCCTCAAGCCACAATGAAAAAGAAGTAGTAGTAGAAGAAGTATTTTTCAGACAATAACAGCTCTGGATATTTCACATACATAAAAAATTCAAGTACATAAAACTATTCAAGAAGTAAAAAAATTTGATGTAATTTATAATATGTTATTACTCTATGATGGATGAAAATAAAATCCAAATATACAGAGTAGGTTGTTTTAAGACATCACGGTAAAAGAGGGTAAATTAAGCCCTCATGTCCACAGGATGCAGGTGTGTTGTGTTCGTGCTGATATTTGTTAACAGTTTAAATTAATATTTAATTTAACTTTCATCAGTTAACTTCCAGTTGCTATTGCAGGCTAAAAAAAGTAAAAAGTCTTGGTGTCACACAGACTTTTAAAACACTTTCCTTTATGTCAATATGTCTCCCACAAAGTCCTCTAAAAATTTAAAATTTGATGTAGTCATAAAGGTGAGAAGACAGATAAATTGTTACAAAAAGGAATAACAAGAACAGGTAAAATAAATAAATAAAAGCAATAATAAGTCATAAGTAAAACTGTTCAGTGTATAGAATTAGAAACTGCGCCATTGTCAGATAACAAATTATTCAGACTATAAATTCAGGTGGCCTTAACCACAATGAATGTCCAGTGAATACAAAAAATCCCAGGGTTTTTTATTAATTACATACTTTCATGGCCTAGTTAAATCCAAAATGATACAGTAAATGCTGAAAAACACACCTTTAACAGTATTTCAAGAACTGTAACTCCCACAACCTTTGAATGACCCCGTCTCAGAGTTGAGGTCAATGTCACTGATGCTTTCAGGCAAGATTTTTCTCCTCTGACTCTCCCAACAACCAGGAAAGGTCATCTCCTATCACACTCCACTGCTGCTGCTCCCCCCCCCCCCCCCCCGTCTCAGTGACAGTGGACATGTGTCACTTACAGGGAGTGACTTTTGTTAGTGCCACTCAGATGGAGATGACATGCCTCAGGAGGGGCGAAGAGACTCTGATGCCTCAGGTGAAAGACACATGCCATTAAGTCTATTCATTTTCTCAGATAGACCTGGCTTGGCATGTGGTTGCATCATAGGATGACACACACAGTACGTGCCATGCGGGGAGTCACGTCAGTTCACTCCTGATAATTCTCTTCCTTTCAACGCAAGTATTCTGAGAATGCAATTATTTCTCATTATGTAGTATCATTTTAATAAAGCACCTCTCTTGCGCTACACTTCTTGATGTCATACAGCACTTTCATCTGTTCGCCATCTTCAAAGCAGAACACATAATGAAGAGAGTTATTAAGTCTTTGGTGTTGATAAATCAATCATTCTGCTATGTTCTCACTTCAGAGCCAGTTCTGCTCCTCATCAGACTCTTGTTACTTATTAATAGTTGGCATCAAAGCCAAAGTTTAAAAAGCACAAATAATCCATACTTTAGTTCTTAGATTGCTGAGACACAATTTGAGTATATTGGGGGGAAATGTGTCCACCATGTGTACACGTCAACGCACACTGTTGACTCGGTTGCACTTGCCAAATACAAAGACCTTTGCTCATATTTCTCAGCCTGAGAATTTACTTTATTAACGCGATCCGACCCTGCTTTTGTTGTTTGCTCAGTAGGACTGTCGGTATGCCCCCTCCCTTCTTTCTTTTGGCCTGTCTCATGGTGTGTAAGCACCAGCCAATCCCTCTGAGATGCTTTTCTCGCCTGCATTTCCAGGTCCCAGCGTGAGCCACCCGCCTTTGGTGGTGAGCCATGTGCAAAGCCGCGTTTAGTAACTTGATCAAGGGACCGAGGTACAGTCCTCTGAAGCAAAGAGCATTAGAGGCGTGAAGGAACGACTCTGGCAAGTCAACAGCTTTGATATGTAAAAACCTGCATCTGTTGGCTGGCAGAGGCAACGCCAGGAGGAGAGGTAGAGGGAATGGAAGACGTCTGCCTTTAGAGTCGTCGCTCTAATAGAATTGCAAACGCCAAATCCCAAGCTGTGACACCCTAATGTTCTTAGTCAAACTGACTTGGCATGATCCAGGGGCTTGAGAGAGGGAGTAAAGAAACAGAGAGAAATAGAGGGAAGAAGGAGGTATAGAGTGGTCTCCTGTCCTAGATACCACTGTCTGTCAGAGTGAGAGTTATCAAGCTCTACTTCAGCCCAGATGCAGAGGAATCTTTTATCCAGGCTTCCCTTCTGTTCCTCCTCACATCGTCCATGACACCTGCCTGATGCAACCCTGCAATTGTCCCCCTGAGCGAGCAACTCGCTATCTGACATACATCAAAAAGACACAACAGGATAAAGAGCTACTGTCTGGGCAAAAGTAATGAGCAGAATTACACGATTATTGTTTTTAATTAATTTTCCTTTCTGCATCAAGAAGGCCTGCAATGCTGGCCCCTGAGGCCCACTCTAATGTGAATCATATTAGAGCGATTCACATTAGCCTAACGCCAGCAAATTAATCTTTTGCATTACAGCAGGGCTCACACACCGCATTTGGGGATGAAATTTTAATAACCTTTTTTTTTGTGGAACAATATTGAATTGATCAGCCGTATCAAATCCACACCCGAAAAGGTCAGAGAATATGTAGGTTGTAAACAGAAGCCTGCACACAGCTTAGACAGAATAATTCATAACTTGGTCAATGACTGAGCTAAACCTATTAGCGGATCACCAGGCCACTCCTCGCACTGAAGAGTCTCTATTGATTATCATTACTTGTTTATTTAAGTTCATAAATTATCTCTAGGTTTTAATAACAATATGGTAATGCAGATGGTGCTTAAATTCATTGTTTGATTGCAGCGGCTGTAGTGTGAGGGAAGGAGGGCGCGTTGATGTGGAGCAGCGTTTCCCTACATTATTCAACACAGGGACTCATTATAAATCAGTCGAATCGGGGTTGTCATTGCATATTCCATATATATCTGTTTGACTTCCTAATAAATGTTATTTCCTCTATCAAGACTTGCTATTGAAGCATGTTATGCTACAAAGGTTATTCCCCCACAAGAATGCTTTTGCTTCCATCCCAAAACAAGTTTCTTTCATACTCCCACGTGCAGCTGCTGAATGCTGTTGTGTGAAAAACGTGACATACTGTATTCCTGAATCGAGCACTGGTATGTCACATGTTTATCCAGCTCATTCAGCATTGGTGGAAAGTAACTAAGTACATTTACTTAAGCATTGTACTCAAGTATAATTTTGAGTTATTGTATTTTATGTTTTTTTTTATGCTCCACTACATTTCAGAGGAAATGTGTACTCTGTACTTTTTAACGCTTTAGGCATGTTAGTTCTTACAAGAAGCAGCGCTAAGTTGAGGCTACCTTTCATATTTTAGATGTCTATAGGTTCCAGAGTGATTTTCCCTCTAAGCTTTTCAATTGATTTTATTCAACTATGAGGCCCACACAGATTAAATTATCTCATATGTCACATAAAGAAAAGATTTAATCCAAAGTAAAGAAACTGAATAAGTTTTATTTTTATATTAGAATTTGAGTATGGGAACAACCCGTAGGTTGGGAACAACTGAATTAAACTACTCAACAGTATATAAGGTAGTTAAAAATACCTCCACCGTAACCAGCTACATCCGTAAACTGTTACTGATGTGACATTTTCATAATATAATATCTACCATGAACAGAGGGCCTCTAATTTCCCCTGTCCCTCAGAAAACCCTTCAGTAAGTGCGGAGGTTTGGTGATGGTAGCTTAATATCAATCAGGAGTACGAAGAAGAAAAAGTGGAATTAATTATATGTGTATCTGTTGTTCTAATGCTACACTATGGAATTAGTGTAGCATTAGGAAACGTACATTATACTGACTGACCATGTGAGCTGTAGTGGTCTACAGGCAATTTCACCAACTCAGTGCTTTATACTTGGCCTGTATTATTGGTCAGCCTTTTGTTTTTTATCAGGGCCATTTATTTGAATTCTTTTATAAGACAATTTACAGTAATATAGACAGCAATATGTCCAGGGCCATTATTCTGCACAGCACTGACTAGTTTTACTTAACACTTAAGTGCAATTTGCTGATAAAAGTTTTAGTTGTATTTAAGTAGGATTATTTTTATATTGGTGCAGTGGTAATTGCACTTACATTAAAGGTCAGAGCACTTCTTCCACCACTCCCTTACAGAGAGCCATGAGTGAAAACATTCTGTGGCTTAAGGGAGAAAATGGATGAAAGAAAAAAACAGAAAAAACAACAAATAAACATCCAACCATATAGAAGTTATGCAGTCACATATACACACTTCATGTGCACATGCACAGCCTGTACAGAACAGTCTACGCTTGCAGGCTTGCCCACAGCACTTGCATGTCCTTCTCTTGATGCAGTCACCCGAAGCACATGGCAGAAAAATGAAACCCATTTTGACTGAAGCTGGAGTTTATTATAAACCATTCAAGCGGAATTTCAGAAATGCAGGTGCACGAATGCACTCAATTCCCTTCAGCTTCCCCCACACACTCCAAAACACACATGCATATTTCCCCCATATATGCCCACGTCTTTGTTCTGTCCACCTCCCTGTAGATGGCGGCCTATATGGACTGTCGGGAAAAGGCCTCCATGCTCCTGAAAGTTGTTTTTTACCACATTACTGTCAAGGTATCCACCGGTGACTGATGATGGATTACATCTCAGCCCGTGCTCAGGGTTTTCCCTCAGCCTGTGACTTAACAGGAACGCCAAGCCCTCCCCGCCCTCGTTGCTACACTAACCATGAAGAGCACTGCTCAGGGAATATCACACAAGACCTTTTCGCTCCTTTCTCTTCATGTTCTCTGGGCAGCTGTTTCACAGGACATGCACAGGGGGGAGATAAGGCATGTGCCTTTGTTTAAAGGATGTTTTGGTTATATAAGAGATCTTTTTTCTTCTTCTTTTTTTTCATTTGCTGCAGACCCAAACCCTGTCTTCATTTGTCTTTCTGTGTCAATGGAAATGCACTTACTGCAATTTGGTCTAGTGCCACTCAGGGAGGCTGTGGAGCTGGGTTGTGATTCACTGCCGCACACAAACCTACAATTTTAATGTGATAAGTAGAGATTCAGACCCTTCTTTTGGAGTCAGAGATAAGCCATTGCGTTTGGGTAAAAGCCCAGGCAAGGCTCATTTAAAGGAGGAACTGATTGGTGTTTCATTTAGCGTAGATGAAAGCCACTTTTCTCTCCACCTTGTGAACAGCATCAGGTGAAGGAGGCAAAGTTTTATTTTTATTTTTAGTCCAAACTTCTGGGAAGATTTGTGTTTCCTCTTTCTGTTATCCCATGTGTTATGATTTATTATTTTTCACATTTCAGCCAGTCATTATCCAATCTAATGGTGTGCCATTAATCATAGTAGCTGCCGTGTGAATCCCAGGTTTTTGTGTGTGTTGTGTGATAATTAGCGTTGAGGGCTCAAAAGTAAAATCCCACTTTGGGTTGTTATATGTCTGTGTATTATTTTGCATACAGTATGATGCTTACAGCCCATGTTTCCCAGTGTGCCTCTGTGGCCTGGAGGACCTGCCCAGCTCTACAGGCTGCGCTGAGGTTAAATCAGTTGTGTGCAACAGAAAAACATAAATGAGCTCCTTTAAAAACACAGCAAAAATATTTCGGAAACGGGCAAGTATTTATGAGATTCCTTAAAGAGATTTAGCTTGAGATTTTAGCATCTTCCACATCTTTTAAAAAAATGGCTGATTAAGGTTGTAGATAATGTCATTAATAGTGTTATCAAATTATATGCTGTAAATTTTAATAAACTGTTCATTTAATTGCATATCCTATCAAGTTTGGAAGGCTCAGTAATTAGATTATATTACCGTGTGTGAATAATGTACAAGATTATGTTGCAGATTACAGTTTCAATCAGGTAATCAGTGATCTGTAACATATTACATTTTTAAAAGTAACATCCCCAGCCCTAGCTATAGCTACCCGCCTCTCCTTTACTCTGTCAGAAATTATGCAAATTTCAAGCAATTAAGGGGCTCTGTGTCATTCTGTCTCTTCTCCTTAGCATTCACTGTTGTTTTTCAAGCCCCGCCAGTGACTTTTGTCAAGCATCTGTATGAGCATGTCAAGAGCAAAGATGCTTAAGATGGGAAAATTATTCATATCCATTCCAGTGCTTGTACTCACAAGCACTTACAGATATTCTTTCCTCGCTAAAACCTACACAGACGTTTTGTCACCATACACATAATCTATCACACATTTAACATAGGCTAAAATATAAAGTCACACATACGTTGCAGAGGGAGGGGTCCGTGTTGCACCGAGGTCATATTCAGCGCCTCGCTTCGCTCTGAGACGTCTTGGCCAAATAATTCACCACCAGGTTGTCTGTGTGGTAAGAGGTGAAGCCTGTCAGATGCTCAAATAAGTTATTAATTTTCCATTTTGAAAGCTTGAGGTGCACTTCATCATCCTGTTACCAATTTTCCGTGAAGCGTGACTGATTTCGTTCAGAACATTGTTCTAGTTTTTCTGCAAAATTGATCTCCCTACATCCATTGCCACTCTCCCCACAATTGTTTTCACTCGTCATTTTTCATTTATTGCTGAGGTGTATTGACTTTGCAATGTTGATTGTTTAAAGTTTACTTACAATATGCCTAAATCTCACTTGTTTCTCCCTGCTCGCCGTTCCCATTCCTGTTACAATACAAGATTGTCATCTAAAATGTTTCTCTTCCTTTCTGTGTCTGTGCATGATTTAAATATGTGCTGGTTGTCATTCAAAAAGTTGTTATTTTCTTTTCAGTGATGTCCTTATTGGGTTTTCAGTGAGCTTTGAGTACATTGCTCAGCACCATTTTCCTTCTGTTTTGACACTTTCATAACATGTCTTTGTCTGTACATTTATTTATCTCATACTCTTCTAGACTTAGTATTCTGACTGTCTTTTCTGTCTTCCAGATATTTTTTCTCTGTAAATATCTCTGGAGGTCAGAGACAACATCGTCTGACCGCGACGCCCTCACCTGAATAGCGTCTGTCTTTATAGATGTCGACGCACCATCCTCCCACTCATCCTCTTTTTCTCTTCTTTGCCCTCTTTAAGACTTTTTTTCATATTCCCACCGCGCTAAAATCCTTGACACACTTTCCTGTCCCTAACAAATGTCATCTGAACTCATCTGTCTCCTCCCTCAGATCCTCCAACAGTGGAGCCGGTTTACATGGAGATGCGTCAGGGCCTGGGAAGGCCTGTGGTGATGACCTGCAGGGTGCTGCGAGCCCACCCTTCCCGTGTTCTGCGATTCGAGTGGCTTCTATCAAACCGGCTGCTCCACGCCGGAGCCTTTGACGCACAAAGAGATGAGACGGAGTACACCATCCGCAGCTTGAATCGAGACGGATGGGGGGAGTACACTTGTAATGTCATCAATGAGGCCGGAGCAGGCAAATGCACCTTCCAGGTCACAGGTAAGTAGTGCCTGTCAATAAAAAATTTCATGTTTTTATACTGTTAGGAACTGACTGTTCACTGAACCCTAGCTTAGTTACGGTTGCTATGCCTGTTAAGCTTTTTTTCCCCCTCATATGACACATGCTGTTAATAATGGGGGCACTTTTGTTACTTAAAATTCTTGATAATTTATTCAAACAATATTTCCTTGATTCCAGACAAAATTAGACAAAATTGTGCATATAATGATTATGCCAGCTGAAATGATAACTGTTTATCAGCTGTAGCAAGCTAATTAAGCTAATATTAGCCTCATGAAGTCGGTTTTAAACGCTGTCTCTGGCTACTTTTGAAAACAACAACCCTGTGAAAAGGTATCGTACTAAAAGCTAATGCTAATGCTACATATCCCAAGAAAAAAGTCCTCACCAGAAAATGATCAAAGTGGAAGACATGGAAATAAAGAACATTACTGTTTTTTTGCACTGTGTATGACTGTACAACAGGATGACAAGAAAAACTATAAATTCAGGGTCATATCTTATTCTAACATAACCCTGTTTGGCGTCTTAGCACATACACGACAGAGGTTAGGTTGATGCTTTATTGTTCGGATTTTCAAAGACTGTTTAATTTTTAATGTTACAAAGAAAAAGCTTTTAGGATGAGCACTAACTGATGTGTTTGATGAAACTAACGTGGAAGAAGTTGCTGGAGTGTAAACTTCCTCAAATCTAATAAAGAGAGGGACAGAGCTGTTAACGTCAGCTGTGCTATCGCTAACTATGCTTGTTTAAACCTGTAATGTTGGCAGTAAATAAATAGCTTCTGGGTTCTGAGGAGTGAGGCCACCATGGAAGTACTTAAAACTGCATTCTTTCTAATGGCCAGCAGGGGTTAGCTCCAGTGTTAGCAAAAAGACCTGCGCTGTATTCAGCTGTGTTAAAAATGACCGTACTTCTCTCTTAATTTATTCATTTGAGTTTATGGTTTCAGTCGCTAGTTTCAAGTCTTCTTCCATACAGCATGCTGTTCATTTTGTAAATTATGGTCACATAGGGCGTGGCTGTGATTGACAAGACATTCTCAGTGAGTCCATCTCAGATCAAACTGTTAAACTAGGCAGTGCTAATCAAATATTAATCAAGATTCTGTTACTGCATTGTCTATACTAGTGAAGCCATCGCTTCCTGCTACAGAGCAGCTCAACTCATGTACTTCACCATTGTTAGCAGGAAAAAACCAACAGGGTGATGGCCATTATGCCAAACTTGGGACTTTTTTTATAAACCAATGGTTGACATCATGATACGTTCACACTTGATCTGTTACCCCACAAAATAGCGTAGTAAGTACGTCTCGGCCTTGGAAGTCATAATATTGTAAGTATTAAACTAGAGTAGTTAGCCCGATATGCTAACACTAAGTGGATCCGACCAACACAGTTTAATCCATTACTTACACTTTTGCTCTTGTGTGTGTGTTTGGTTTAGTAAAAGCTTAAAAAGAAAAAAAAAAGACGCTTCCCTCCAAACTCTTTAAATGCAAATGCATTTACAGACCTACCGTACAGTTACAGCTAAATTATACTTGTTGCTGGACAGTTAATTATTTAAAGTTACATACCATACCATATTTCACTCTCACTCTCATACACACATTTAGTGGTATAAAATGCATACCTCATACATCTGGATATCTACAACAACTTCTTCAATATGCACTCCAGTATGTAATTAGAGTCTTCACTGAGAAATTTTTGGACAGCTGAAATTGGCTCCTCAAACATATAACAGTCCTTGTCACACTGCATTTCAGATACATTGATGTCTCTTTATGATCGACATTCATTTAAAAGAAGAGTGAAAGAAAAAATCCGTACATTGTAAATCTGAATGGGACACGTCAATCATTTTGGCTTTTTCTCTGTCTCACGTAGTAAACCTGTTCTTTCAGATAATACACACTTACCCTCTTCCTTGTATTTTTTTTAGATTGCCTCTTTTTTTTATATCAAGAGCTGCAAGTGTCCATCTCCTAGTTGGTTGTTATGACAGGACCAAATTAGTTTGGCCTGGCTGAGTGACCGCAGGAACTCTGGCCAAGGTTTCAATCTCCCAGACCTCCCATTAGAGACAGGAGCTGCAGGGTCACAGGAGGAGTATTTGTCACTGTGATCCTCTGCCACTTAGGTTGCTCTCCTCTTTGATACTGTCTATTTCTCTCCATCTATTGCTTCTAATCGTACCTTTCTTCACTCGATTTTTCTATCTCCTCTCTTGCGCTTCCTTTTTCTCCTTGTCCATATTTTCTTTCCCTCGTTCTTCATCTTCCTCATTTTAAACATGTCTCTATCGTCCTCCAAGCAGACTGGAGAGAGAGATGGACACCCCCCCTCTGTGTGCCATAAATCGGTCCTCCCTGGTGAAGCACGTAGAGCAGAGAGGCAGGAGCAGATACCCCCCTCCAGCCATTTGTTTTTCTCAACAGGGCTGGGGTTTGTCTGCTATTGCTCCCTCTTCCTACCTCCACTCCCCTTCCTTACCTTTCATCCTCCTTCCCTCTCTCCTGCCATCGCTCCATTCCTCCCGCCCAATGCTCCAGATTCCCACCATCTGGACTCAGTGGTTGCCAAAGGTATGGAGGCTCTTTTAGTAACCCCCCTGAGTGCAGGAGCATGGTGCAGAAAATCCACTTTGGTTCCTCCCATCATCCATGAAATCTGGTGTGCCCCATTCCCTTAACTGCAGCTCTTACTCTTTTTTATCCTGAAATTCAATACTACAATACTATGCTACAATATGAGATCAACACTATTCTGTAGGGTGGTTGAAATAAATATCTACTGGAGAGAAAGTGAATATCAACTTCTCTCTATGACTTGTGAGCCCACTTCAAGATGAAGCTCATGAAATATGTGTTATAGCTGATGCAGTAAGGTCGTATCTTGGTTTGCTCACTTTACAGAATGAAGACAGGTAGACACTTGATATTCACTCACTGCTCTCTCCTTGACTTCCTCTTTGGCTGTGTTGATGTGTAATAAAGATATCAGTTCAGTTTTGGCCTGAAGCTACAGTGGTTCAGTTAAACTCACAGATCAAGTCAACATACCATGCAAAACATACATGTTACCATGCTGGCAGACACATGCAGATACACCAAAGTCTGGCATCAGGCCATTCTTTGGCTTATATAAATGCTGTCGCCTCAAAAAGTGTATTGTGCCAGGGGAGAGTGTGTGTGCATGTGCATGGATGCCCATGTGCCAAGCCATTGGGACATCTGTGGAAACAGTGAGTTGGCTGTAATGGCCAAGTTGGCCATTAAATTGTGCCGAGGGAGAGACCCCTCAGAGGGATGTAATGTGTACCACTGAGCTTTGGCTCTGAGCTCTGTCATGGGAACCTTGAGTTTTTAGCAAATGCTGAAATCATGCTCCTCTGGAGGTTGGGAGTAAAAAAATTCACTGTCTGAGTATTGAGTCATGCTGCTTTTTTCCCCCTCTGATCCGGTCTGATGCAGTCAGTCATTTATGCACAAGTCTATATTTACTGTGCATCTTGTCCTTAGGCTGCAAATGTGTGTTGATGAAACAGTGAAACGCAAGTCACAGAATAGACGTGACATTTAACTATGTATTCCATCAATTTAGTATTGCACTTCATAAAGTTGTGTCATATTTCATATCCCATATTGCAACTCAATAGCATCTTTCACTAGACACGCTCAATCTCCCAAATGCCCACTTCTTTCTAACCTCCCATTTGTAGCGCAGGCTTTCTATTTAAACTTTCAACCCCTAACCCCCCTGCAGAGCTGCATAAAGCCTGTAAGGCACTGCATTTGTCTAAATACTGCAAAAACCGAAATTTATAATAAAACAACTAATTCTGCAGTTAGTCCATGCTTCTCACTCTTTCTCTTCAGTGACAAGTCTCCCAATCAGTGCAATACTGCAGTTTGCTGGAATTCCGCAATCCGCTCAGAAAGGGCAGTGTTCTCATTGTTTCTCATTTTTCCCACGTTTAAGTCCTCTTTTTGGCAGTCTGTCATGAATTAGAAGAGAAGAACAAGTGAATTCTCAAGAACAATGTTGAGATATTCATTGTCTGCATTTTGGGGGGTTTGCTCACGCAGTTAATTCAGATTCTCCATAATGATGTGCTTGTATGGTCCCAGTTTCCCTTTTTCTTGTAGCCATTGTTCATAATGATGCAAAATTTCAACGTGGTGTCCAGACAAAGTTGGCTGCAATGAGATATCTGCATATGTTTCAGGAGGAAAATATATTTATTTTAGTGTGACACACATACCGCCACTACTTTATTCCTGTTGTACCTAATCTGCACTCACTATTTTAATATGTTATTATTTATCATCATCTGTTTTGAGCAATGTTTTTGACGTCTTGATTTATTTTTTTCTACGTTTGTTTGGCTCTTTGAGGTGTGTTTCAAATAGGCCTCTTGGGTCTTTTTTGAACTACACTAGTACAATATGATCTTTTATTTGTGTGTGTGTGTGTGTGTGTGTGTATGTATTATTATTGTCTTTATCATTTTTCATATCTTCAAGTGAAACGGGAAAAAAACCTACATTGATTTTACCTTCAAACCTGCACATTCCTCAATCTCAGGGGTTTATAAATCAGTGTTGGTCTCCAGTGAACATTTGTGCCTTAGCTTTGAGTTCCAGACATGGTTTTTAGTAACTCAGCTACTGTATCTGCCTTTATAGCCTGTGCCCAGTTCACCTGGGTTGAACTTCACCCCCACAGTATGTGGTGGTTGATGTTGAATACTTTTCACAGCTTAAAGAGACATACTGACAGTGATGCATCCTGTAGGTAGTAATGAGTGACACTACATGGTCAAAGTATAAAGGCAGCATATGAATAATGTTATCTGTGATCAAACTGAAATCCTGTCAGGTTTGAAGGACAGACACAATCTATTCTGCTGTATTTCTTTTTTCTTTTTGATTGTTTGTGGTTCTGCTTCTTTTATACCAATAC